GGTGTTTCCATCACAGCTGAAGACCCCCCCCCCCCCCCAACATTCAAAGGCCTAACCAAAATGGGGAAAATGCAGAGGGTCTTTGTCACGCAGGATTTCCTTCTATAATTCTCATCCCGGGTTCCCACCCCTTCCCCTCATCCGGAAGGAAGCTGCCCCTTCTTTATAACTTCCTGGATACGCCATCGAGGTTCTGTAAGGTTATAATGACGCAGTGTTCAATCAGTATGAGTGATGTTACAGTAGCCTATATTGCCCATCATTAATATCATTATTTTATACGCCCCTTTCCGGGTTTTCTTTTGTAATGGGGTCGATAATTCTAAGATAAGGCATTCAGTGATGAATACACTTAAGCTACTTATATTGGGTTTTTACAAACCCTGCAGCAAATGCTCGATTAAGATCACTTGTTACAAATTGAAACTCAAAATGTAGCCATGCATATTGTTCTTAAATTTACTTATGATATAGCCTGAGTTTAATAGAGAGAGAGGAGGGGGGGGCGGGGGTTTGGCCAAAGTCATGGGGGTCGCATGTAAAGGTATAAAGCCTGAGTTGAATTGGGGAGCGGGGCCCAAGTCATACTTTTTTTCTTCCTTCAATATTTCATTTGTCTCTTCCCCTCTCTTTCTCTCTCTCTCTCTCTCTCTCTCTCATTTTTCACCTGCATGTATCTCTCATCTATGTGTGTCTATTTCTCTCTCTCTCTCTCTCTCTCTCTCTCTCTCTCTCTCTCAGTTTCCCTCTCTTTCTCTTTCCATCCCTTCCCTCCTGTCACCTTCTCATCCCAGTGATGATCTCGGACTATCAGGGCAAGATTCGTATGAAGATGCACCCTGAACAATAAAAGCATGGTCTTGGTTATTGTTTATGTTGGACCCAAGTCTCGATGACAACAGAACTGACAGCAAATGGTGACTAGTGTGGCCAACTATATTGTGAACACTTCTTGGTCTGTTTTTTTTAGGGAATTCCTTATGAGGAAGCTAATACTCTCTTTATATCGTTCAAAATCATCCCTTTTCTCCTAAAATTTGATCTCCTAAGTGGAAATAAGAACAAGCATGAATTACGTTTTGGTATTATATTTAACTTACATTAAAAATGATAGCCAACTTCAAATTTATTCATGTTTCCAACAAAACATTACAAATCAATTATAAGCATTTAAAATAAATGTAAGAAATACATGTTGGACACAGAGGGGTCCACTAAAAAGCAATGCTTGTACCAGTGTGAACACCTCAAATGATACTTAGGAATAATGAGTAATTAAATTAACCAATCTGTAACTACAAAAGGAACTACAAACCGAAATCAAATAGAACAATGACAATGAACTCACCAGGTTCAACCCTCCCTCGAGCGTTCACCCTCCACGAGCTCTGTTCATGACGAGGATTCACAACCGGCTTGAAATATTTGCCGCGTAAATATACCCCCATCACTCATATCAAATCGTAATTTATCACCTCGATGTTTGGATGTAAAATAACAAACTATAAATACATGTATCTTGAATAAGAAGAGGCGGGCAGCTCGTTTTGGGGGGTTAGGGTGTTACGGAGGCAATTTGTCATGAAAAAGTTTCATGTTGGCACGCTTCGGTATGTCGAGGGGCCTTTTGTGTCAATCCAGGTGCTTGTTTGATGAAAATCACGTCGGGCTCACGTTTTCACTATCTATTGGTGGCATTCATACAGACAATATTTCCTTACATGCAAGATTATCTTTAAGTTGCTATGAAATCATTGCATGACAGAGTCACCAATTCAGGATTAAGAAAGAAAAAAAGCCTTGTCATTTTTCAGTCATTATTTGTTGGGGAGGGGGTGGAGGTATTGAAATGGAAAATACTATAGCCCTGCTCATCAATGGGTATTGGGATGACAATTTTATCAAATTTGAAATAGAATGAGCGAGAAAAGAAAGATGAAAACGTGAAAGAGGGAAAGGAAGTAGGGAAATATAGGAAAAGAGAAAGAGAGATAGAGAGAGAGAGAGAGAGAGAGAGAGAGATAGGGAGAGAACAGCAGGATGATAAAATAGAAGTTCAAATTCTTTCATTATCGGTTACTGACTGCACTTGTCTGTAATTGTGGTATGATAATCATACCTGCTGTCATGTGAACCTGTCACGTTAGATTACAAGTGGTGGCCCAAATTCTTTCAAGATATCGTTTCGATACCAGACACAATAAAACGAAATTTCTGCTCATTCAAACATTTCAGTCATGTTTCTGTTCCCTAATGCGTTCAGGAAATGGGAAGGAGATAACATTAAAAAATGACTATCTGCAAACATGCTTGAGAGAATAATTGTTCCATGCATACTGATGACTGGTATGAAATTTGACAATAAGAAAGAGGCAATGAAACATGATTATAAGTCATCAAACGTGTTTTATAGCCAACTGTTCGAAATTATTTTGAAATAATCTCCCCCATCCCCCCCTCTCTCTCTCCCTCTCCCGTCTAAAACATCATGTTTTATCTAGCATGGTAATGTCTTTGAAAAATTAAGATAAAATTATTTTATCCGTACACGTTTACTGAAGGCAAAATGTAGTCAACCAAGCCCTAAATGTTGACACAACCGTGTCTGCAACTTGGCAAACGAAAATGATATTGGCTAATATATAGCCATAACGTGGGTGTTCAGGTAATTTTCGTCGTACCGAGTGCATACATTAATGAATAAGCAAGGACACTGTTGATGCATAACAAAGGCAGGGTGTGTCATTACCATGATTACATTTGTTAGCCTTGTCCTCTATCATGCTGCTCTTGGGTTGGTGACCATGCCTAAAACTTGGCTAATTCAAACAATGTTGCCCAATTTATAATATTAAAAACAGGGGAGTTCATGTATTTGTGGGTGTACAAAGTGCATACATAAGCGAAGACAATGTTATGTATAACAAAGGCAGGGGTGTCACACCATGATTGCATTTGGCTGGCCTTGTTCTCTACTGCTCTTGGGTTGATAACCCGATGGTCACAGCGACCTAATACAAGGTCATAGCGACCTAATACAACTGTCATAGAGAGATAAGGAAATCTGCATGATAAAATGTTATAAAAAAACTCTTTCAACCAATAATGATAATCAACAAGCAGATATCAATAAATGAAGTGAAATTGTAAAAAGAGATAGATAATATTATATGTATTTAAAAAATAAAAAAAAAAAAAAAAAAATTAGGGGGGGGGGGGGGGGGGGGGGGTAAGCGAAGTCTGCATATTGTGCAGGACAGTATCAGGACATTTACAATCGCTCTAGATACCCAGGACAATGACCTCCTAAGGCGACCACCCCTTGGGCAACTACCTCAGGTCATTAACACAGTTATCTGTTTGACTCGCATTTCATTAAAATAGAATAATGCACCAGTAAACTCAAATTACAATCAGGCAAAATTGTTGCAAACAACATTCTTATATCTAAAGGTTCAAACAAACTTTTCACCTGGTCACGCCCACTTCTTGAGCGAGAGCGGAACTTTATCGCCTAAGTTACCGTATGATAGCCAATCACGAGACTTCCTTGATAAGGCAATCGGTCATTGGCCTCTGCCATGCTTCATTGCGCATGCGTAAGCGAGTCATTCACTCTCCGTCAAATGCTATTAGTTCATAGCGTGAGATAAACAAATAGAAGCCAATTCTTTTGATTCATGACAAAAGTCTCGCGTAACTTTTTTTCTTTGATTCTCGTTCCCACCTTTTCATTATTCCTCTCTTTTTTTCATGTTTGTATTCGTACCGCGTCATTTCATCCTGTGCAGTGAGAATCGTTGGATCTGGCGCATGGTTGATCGAACTCTCGGAGCAGTTCAGCGACAGTGATCTAGGTAGATAAAAGCGCAGCTGCGAGTCGAAGAGCTTGTAGTTGTGACTTGGTCGTCGCTAGCTGTGCAAGCTCCCTCAAGCCTCACGTATACCAAACACAATTTGCACTCGTACACGTGCTAGAGTCCACAAACCGTAGACTCGACTTTTCTTTCATCAAACATCGCTGCCGTTTCCGTGCGTAGACACCCCGCTCCTTGCCTTCGCCAACTTCGTACTTCGAGAAAAAAAGAAGCACCAAACACCCGCGGAATGTTCAAAGGAGACATACTTACTGATCTGTAGGGTGCTTAGAATGTTTGGGAAGTGTTTGGATTAGTGAATTCCGACCTCTCTTCGAGTTTCCTAACGTTACAGAGTCGTGATTTTTGTGCCCCGTGGCGGAGTATCGTATTCGCTTCTTCGCGTGGAGGAGGTGCGGGAGCGACAGGCGACAAATTGCCGCTTCAAAGAAAAACACCGTGGAAGGCGTTGGAATAGCCTCTGCCAGACCCGCCCTCCGTTGAATTACACCCACAACTGAATCGCAATTGTTGGTTAAAACTTAGATTATTCATAATCATTTCTTGGCTGTTGGATGTCATCATTATAGTCATACGTCTTTAGCCCTGTATGTGTTTGTCACGTACAACTCTATAGAGGTAAAGCCGAGCAAAACACAAAAGTTGGATTAAATTGATAAATCATAAAAGCTTAAAGTGGGGCCAGCCATTTTGACAATAGTAGTTTAATCTCTATACCTCGACAATTTTATTCAATTTGTATGAACGACATTACTTCAAAGGCCATTCAAGGCTATTCTAGTTGTGTGACTGGGGATGAGTTTATCGACCTAAATATCATTGCTCCGCTGGAATGACCTACTTGTATAAGAGTCGTTTACTGCGTTCAAAGTCTAAAGAATGTCTTTAGAAATATGATTACAAACAACGCCAGTCAATGTATAAATTATTGTATACTTTTACCAAATGAAGGCAACACCTGGTTCAGTAGTCTGAATGTAGTAGGTCCATGGTTTGATTAAACGTCTGCTTTTAGAGATAGGGGAACAGTAACAGCGTTGAAACTTTAGTTATTTTGCCTCTGATAATTATATAGACGAACAGTATATATTCTTCATCTATTTTGAACTCTCAACTAGGACCATGTGTTGTTTGATCTTGTTATCCGTCATTTGCATCATCGGCGTCACGTTGTTCGTCTTCCGGTCCACTCGACCTAAGAAGATGCTCGATCCGACAGGTCGCGCGGTGGTCGTCACCGGATGCGACACCGGGTTCGGGCACGCCATCGCCAAGCGTTTCGACGAGGCGGGGTTCACTGTGTTTGCTGGAGTACTGTACCCAGAGAAGGCTGGAGCCATGAAGCTCCGTGCAGAGGGTTCGGAGAGGCTCCATGTGATCCACATGGACGTGACCAAGGATTCCCAGGTGCAGGAGGCTGTTGACTATGTCCAGAAGCACCTTCCTGATCCGGACAAGGGTAAGTCCAAATCCTCGAGACTATAATGCTCCAAAAACTCTTCATTGTCCAGTATATCACTTTAAATTTAAAGGGCCGAGGGTCACAGCGCTTTCAAAGTGTTGCATTTTGCTGGATCCAATGACATAAAGATTGCATCCAGAGATGTGAATTCTTACTTTGTAGACGATGTCAGCATGGTCAGTCCGTCTGTCTTCGGCTATTTCAGATGGATTCTAGCATGTTATAGGTAAATCCACCGCAATACGAATCATTTTGGCCAGGTTATAGATGTAGAACATTTAGAAAACCGAATAAGCCGAAATTATATTTCCATGTATTATAAATGTATTTCTTTACAAAGCAATAAATCATCAGAAATATAAGTTCAGTTGACGTCGCTTGCATGTGAACTGACGAACTATAACCATGAGCGAATGAACGTGAATAAAATCCCCATGTAGTTAAGTCCTAACGTGTGAATTTTAGGTATGACATATCATGCTCAGTGCATATGAAGCAAATATGAATACCTGCTTGGAAGTCAATGTTCGGTAACTGAACACAAAAATGGTCCTTCTCGCTGTCACCGAACATGATTGATTATATACAGATAACAAATAAGCAAAGATCATTGTATGCAATATCTGTATTCTAGTGGAAACTGTCAGTACACAGGTCAATATTGACTGTGAAGTTCAAATCCCGGTGTAGTTTGGGCTTTTGACTTTGAGTGATAAGTTGTAATAATCACGTAACATTGTAAGAGCATGGACCTGGTGAGAGCAAGAGTGATTGAGAATGTTTGCCTCTTCATCGAGCGCGCTTGACTCTCAAACCTGGGTTACTTCATATTATATTTATTCTTGGGAACCTACAAAAACAAGCTATGCTTTCCAGGAGGTTCCTGTTTCATTTCATAATTTTGATCTTACTTTGTCAGCTATATTCTTCATTGTGCAAACAATTGTTATGTGAAATGAATAAATAAAATCAATCAATCAATCAATCAATCAATACAGGCTCACAATATTTTTTAAGAAATATAATGGAATATGTTACTCTCTTGTATGATGTCTACAAAAAAAGAAACCACTCTATAGTATACCTCTAGTTTGAAGACAGCAGGCCTATTTCCACCTACGTCCATAACGAAATATTATACCAACTTTACAAAGATAGATTACTCTACTTAATATTCAACTTTTTGCAGAGTTAGCGAATATAATTGACCCTCGATATTGTCCTTTACCTTTATTTACGCCCCTATAACTCTAGTTGAAATAAGAGTAGGAAATCAGTTCACCAACAATACATTTCGAGAAATTAACTATCCACTTTTTGTTCATAAAGGTTATAACATGGATTCCATGATTCCATTAGTGGCTCAGCAGAAACTGCCAAAACATGTCAACAGTTTTGACAAGTCCATAACAGTGCTTACAGACATATACATGCTATACATCAATGGCGATTTGGAAATGCCTTTTTTGCTCCAACATTCGGAAAAATATATATCATAAACCTGTTTTACTGTACATAAGGGCCTATAGTGTTGCTGAGGGGCATGCATGCGCCATATACATGATGTAGCTTTACTCCCCATGGCCTGAGCAAGAACAAACGAATAATATTTCTTGAATTTGATAGGATTTATGAGGATTATTGCTTCGAGAGAAACTGGTCAAGGCCGGATGACCGGGCCATGACCTCAAACTACACTCCCTTTCGCCCAGTGGAGGATCCAGGGGTGCATGGCGGGGGCGGCCGGAGGTGTAACGGGGCGTGTGCCCCCAAGAGGAATAAAAGAGGTATCATGGAAGAAGAATCTTTCCTATTTTTTTTTTGTTAAAGAAATTTGAAGTAAAAACAGCACTTCAAAAACATGATGAACTTTGTATTAGTTTTCACAGAATTGACGCACTTGTGCCCCCTCCCCTCCCCCACTCGCTAGCAAATCCTGGATCTGCCACTGCCCTCCCTCCCATGCTGATGATTCGTGCTTCTCGTTGTGGGACCATAATACGTTTACCATAAACCATACGTAGTTACTATGGTAACGAGGTACACCTTCCATGCCCATTGCTTTTCTCTCACATCAATCATACCAGAAGTTTTGATAAACGCATATTTTGTCAAAGTACTTTTACTTTAATTTTAATCAATTTTAACCGATGTCTCTTGATTCGTCGAGGTGTTAGCCTTCTTTTCTAAATGTATGCCCTCATTTGTTGAAAAACGCGATTTAAAAATCTTTGTTTTATTTATTAGCTTGTCATTTTATTTTTAAACTTGGGTAAATAGTAATCACATTATTGTCCCTACCGCAAATACAATGTTCAACAGTAGATGGTGACTTTTCTCCAACACTTCGCAGGTCAGCACATGCGCAGATACGATACTGGGGAATTTCTGGCTTCCTCAGAGAATGTACAGCAGTGTCAACTAATTCCTTATTTCACTAAACTATTGTTCAGGTTTAATGAACTCCCTGAAGATTTGATAAGATCTATGTAGGCACCATAATGATAAGTTACTTTAATTACTTGGTTCCGAAACTATTATTTCTGTCGGTCTTCTCTACCCATTGTATTTCTATGAGAACCGGAAGTGCCTTTGCCAAATAAACCCATGACCCACCGGTGCTGCTTGATATGGCCAAATACCATACTTGTTCAAGAAAGCAACCAAAATATGTGCATACAGCGTTGTCACGATTTGCAACATTCTTCTGGACGACAGTGATCATAACTCTTTTAAACTTTTCATTTTAACAATACCAAAACAGATTTTTATAAACGAGATCCTTCATCTGCTTTTAAGAATGTCAAGTCAACGGAATTGATAATACGAATTTCTAATGTGATTCCTCAATTCCGCATGTTTACTTCGATGTTTTTTTAAAAATTAGTACAACTGTGATTGTTTTTATTCACGCACTGTTGTTTTACCATGGAAAAACCAATAAAATACATAAATAAAATAAGTGATGAGTTTGCTGGATATATCCCCGTCACTTTTAAATAATAGTCTTGTTAATAACAGATTCACGAAATATTCTCTTGATTCATACTTGAAAATTGCTTTTCTCCATTTAAAACAAAATTTAAAAGAAAGCGACATGGAAAACCAAACGTCCTTTCGAAATAAGTAGGTCAATTCTAACCAAATAATACTATTTTATGCACTGGTTATGATTTGTATCTCCTCGTCAAAATCGAGGCATAAAGCTAAAGAAGCAATGAAAATGAATAACTCTCTCTTATTCCCTTTTTGCCTTCAATCGCATGTCAATAAAGTAGTTTATTGTTACGTTGAGTATCACTTATAAGTCGTCAAAATCGAGGCATAAAGCTAAAGAAGCAATGAAAATGAATAACTCTCTCTTATTCCCTTTTGCCTTCAACCGCATGTCAATAAAGTAGTTTATTGTTACGTTGAGTATCACTTATAAGTCGTCAACATCGAGGCAGAAAGCTTCAAAAAAAGAGGAATGAAACGTTTTATGTGATGCACTTATACACTTTTAGACTTTAGATTCTCCGTTTCTCTCTCACCTCCAGTTATACCTCGGTATTTGCCGACATTATCATCAGCATGTGCCCCCCCCCACCAGCCCTTCTTTGCTCCCCCTCCCCACCTCTCCATACACGTTCTTTCACCTTCTACTTTCTCATGAGTTGAACGTGCACCCTTTACTTGATCAGCTGACGGTGTATAGTTTACTTTGAAATATTGTTACCTTTGAAACCCATAGAAATCTAAAAATAACTTGATCGTTTCAGTACAAACATAGCGCTATAATTATGCACATGTTTAATTCTTCCCTGTGTCAACTTGTAAACTAACCTTCGATATTGACATCAGGTGTTCAGAACCTATTAAACCACTTTGTATTTACCCAACCCAGATAGATCGATAGATATGATAAATATTCCAGTAATATGTAACATAATGGTTCATGAATTGTGTTAGGGGTCGTTGACTCGAGTCTAGATAACCTTGCCTGTAGTGGGTATGTTTCTTGTGATCTTGTGGACTAGTCTCCGGACTCTGAACCACGGGGTACAGGGCTTCGAATCGATCAGGGACTGTTCGATTTGCGTGGACGTGGACGTGTGACTTCCTGTTAAGGCACTGGTAGTCACGTGTGACGTCCTTAAAGGATGCCACACGTTGCAGTTCACGTTCTCGTCGTGCAAATCGAAAAGTCCCTATTGTCGCACCAATAACGTCATTTGGCAAGGCATTACTACACTTGCCACTCTCCACCCAGGTGTTAAAAGGGTGCCAATAGAAAGGAATTTCTTGAATGCCGTGAGCGCCGGAATCGGTAGCCTAGCAAGAGCCGGGGTAATAATGGCTAATGAGCGTTATGAAAATATCCAATATCATAACCATTAAAGGGAGATAATTATGTGTATATAATATAATATTATACAACACCTACGTGAATCCCTGTCATTTGATTGGAGGATTGTTGGTCACATGATATTCATTAGATGGTATATTGCACGGTCGTGCATTTTTGGTTATATGCGCCGTGCATTTTTGGTTATATGCAGACTGCGTACCTCTCTGCCGTGCGCGCGCGTATCCCTGCGTGTATCTGACGCGAAGGCAATCTGAATGTAATCGAGAAGGCTTGAATCCAACCTTAATTTATCTTTTATAAGGAGTAAAGCATAATTTGTTGATTGACGTTCTATTAGATCTTCTTCGATGTTGTATAAAACAAATAATGAATGTTATTCATTCGTTCAATGGTGCGAATATTTTCATTCGTTGAAAGATTAACATTAATTCTATTCAACTCATGAAAATATTCGCACTATTGAACTCATAAACATTCATTATTTGTATATTATATATAGTATATAATTGCATTATAGGTAAAGTCAAATCACTGGTACTAGTACTGTATATCATATTCGATGAAAAATGTAAGCTACTTTAGATTTCAAAAGCGAAACAATATTTCTCAATTATTTTTGAAGAAACAGATTAGTAAAAATAAGTAT